GAGCTGTTCAGCACAGTTTCCTGACCTAGTGGGGCTGGCTAGGGCTTAAGACAACATCAACAAGGCTGCAAACCAATCCCCAATCGTGAAGTCCTATTTCGCCAAAATAGGATTGTTTCTTGGGGCTTGCCTATTTGAGCTGCTCAGCACAGGTTCCTTACCCAGTAGGCCTGGCTAGGGCCTGAGACGTCAAGAAGGCTGCTTGGCTTGGTGGAGTCCTGGTGCTGGACTTACCTCGCATAATTTTGTTTTGAAATTATTCTACCTCGTACCTCGCGAAGTGAGCTCGCAATAATTCGCTCAGATATATATATGTGTTTTCTGTTTTTGCCATCCAGCTTCGTGTTTCAGAACCAATTTTTGCAATTATGTTATTATTATACAAAAACACATACTTACTTGTTTCTTCACCATTCCCAAGATAAATTCATCCACGCTACTCCCAGTAGGTCAAGCCCTCGCAGCACGTCACCGTCCGTGGGATGTTCACCACCACCAGGTCCTCCGATGCATAGCCAGACTCTGCGCGACTGCAGCAAATGATGGGATCAACGGTGAGGAGCGCTTGCACCTCAACCTCCGGAGCCATCCCTGCTTCCAGCACCTGCGGAGCCATCCACAGGTTTCACGTCGGATTTCCAAAGAAGGCGAGCTCGACATCGGTTCACGGTTGAAGACGTTCCGACCGGAACAGCCTGACTTTGATCTGGCGGGGCCGTGATTCGTTCATCCCATAAACCTTTCAAACAATTTGCCTGACATGGCGCTGGGTCAAGAACAGGGGAACCACCCACATGACACCCGAACGACACCTGACATCCGTTCGTACAAAATGTGGTGGTTTCAATTCTTCCAAGTGACTGTCTCACCATCGCTCCGCTGGAAGGGAGTGCCATTGACCATGACTTCCACTTTGACCGTCCTTCTTGACTGGATGCCTTCCTCACTGGTCACAGGGCCAGATGGTGACCAGCACCACATGGTGAGCACACCGAAAAATATTTATAAACATTTAAAAAACGAGTGATCCCCACCCTGAAAGGCTATTTGGAAGAATGCAGGGCAGCTAGCCTGACAAAGGCGGATGCGGGTTGACACGGTGTTCTGCCGCTTGTTCTGGCATCATGTCTGCTTTGTGCTCTGACACATCATCTATTTTAAAGGTCGGGTAATCTTTTGAATCGTGTTCTGACGTCCTTGTTAACGGCGTGTATGCTGACATTTACCTGCGCTTCGTGTGGAGGCCCGGGAGTGCCCACTATTGCGATCCGGACCTTGCTGTTGAGGTCCAGATCTGACGCTTGCCGTTGAGGTCTGGTAGTGCTCACTGCGATCTGGCCTGTGCTGTTGAGGTCCGGTAGTTTTTTTGCAGGGCAATACGCCATGGGTTTGGGTGTCGTTGTTGTGGGGCTCCTATGTCTTTTTCGAAGTTGTGGCTTTGAGCAACGCAGATAACGCAGCCATTTTGTCACATATAGGCTTCTCCAATGCTTCATGGTGGTATGTATACACCGGTACGAACAAAAAACATGTCAGGGGCCAGCGTGCACTCAATCCATGTGGGCTGAAGGATGACTGTGTTTAATTTAAGCGCGCATTGAAACAGGGCCAAAAGGGGTACTCCAAGAGTGACCAGCATCATGCCACCCCACCACAAAAGGAGTCGATGCGTTGGCATGGCTTTGTCCATGGAGCACATGTTTTTGTTCATATTTTGGGGTTTGTCCCCAGCATAGTCCTACCTAGGAAACGTGGACAACCTTCCACCCTCTTTGTGCGGCATGGCAAGCTCTTTTCGAAAGAAGCTGAGTGGACTGACTTCAGTGCCCAGTGGCTTCCGGATACATTCCAAGCCACAGGCAGGAGGGCAGAGAAGCTCGCTCTAGCGAACTACCGTGCGTCCTCTGTCATAGGCTCTAATACAAGTGATCACTGGCAGTCACTGGTGTCAGTTCTGTTGAGGTCCGGGAGTGCCCACTGCGATCTGGCGCTTGCTGTTGAGGTCCAGGAGTGGCAGTTGTTTAGGCGAGGAGGAGAGGAGAGGGGGAGGCGGGTCTTCTCCGAAAATCTAAGAACCCTCACCTGACAGGTGGGGAAAAAGCATTTGGACCCCCTTATCTATAAAGCAAACCCCCAACGAATGAAAAAACAACGAAAGGAGAGAAACACGGGCAAACCAAACGTGCAAAAGATTGTTTCGTTGAAGACAACCATCATGATCGTCACAAGAAGTTGAAAGCTCAATTACGGTCTAAACAAGCCTCCCTCGATGAGGACAGCTCTGCCTTCAGCATTTCTTTGAAGTCCCCCATCGTCATCTCTGGCATCAGCTCGAAGACGGATGTGTCGCCATCTGCCATTCGTTACGGAGCTTTTTGGTGGGGCTCCCGGGTGGGGAACAGGTCGAGTCGAAAGCTGTCGGGATAAGAAAGCACTCCATGGGACTGGGCGATGCTACGAACGGAGCAAGAAGCTACGACCGTAGCTCCTGGCATCGCTACGAACGTAGCAAGATGTAGCCAGGACGCTACTAGTTGACAAAGGGCATCGCGACGTTCACGGAGCAATGTTCGCTCGCGCTCGAAAACGAACGACGCTCCGGAGGCATCGCTGCGACGTTCACTGAGCAAGAGGCTAAGTCGGCTACGAACGTAACTCCAGTCCCAAGGGTCCCTCCGGCCCTCGTCCCCCCCCTTTCTCGTGATCGAATTGCGGATTCCGCTGATCCAGACGTGGCGGTGGAGAGGCGAAAAAAAAAGAAAGAAAAGAATATGTAGAATACGGTGGTCCAAATTGTATGGAACACGGTTTGTTTGCAGTAGACTTGCAGTAGACTAGTAGTGGGTTAGAGGAAGACCTCCACTGGTTTGTTTGCAGTAGACTGTAGTGGGTAAGAGGAAGACCTCCACTATGGAATTTCAACCATCATCACGGATGGAATGATCATCATGGATCCTTAGGTTGACTGATCTGAAAGGAGCACACACCTGTTGTTTTATCATGTTTTATCCTCTTGTTGCTTGGGATCAATCATGAGGGATAGCTGACTTTATCCCCTGAAGACAGGGCAGCTTAGCTGTGCTGTTCCCAGATGAAAGGACCTTTAATTGAGACGCCCTGGGGTTCAACCCAAAAATCAATAGAATGTGCCACCTACCAAACTCCCATTCTTTTGGAAACCGTTGTTCCCCCTTTGTCAGCTGCGCAGAACATGCCGGGCGCCTACTTTTCCAGCTACTCCAACTCTATGCCCCCCCGAAGCGCTTCGCTTCGAAGCGCGAGGCGCCGCGCTCGCCGCGGGACGAGGCAAAACTGCAGATCCAAAGGACTGATCTGCTGCACTTGAATCTTCATCCACGCGACCGGGCAATGCGTTGCAGGCGACGCATCAGGCGACGCATCAACAGACGATCGCTGGATCCCGGTGGCTGAATGGAAAGGTCGAGAAGCGGTCCGTTTTAAGAAGTTGGAGGAGATGACCCGACCTCGCATTCATTGTGGATCTTGATATGTCCATCCCAAAGATAGAAGTCAAATGGGGCAACCACCATGTCAAAGGGATGGAACAATTGTTTCTTGATCCCGCTGCAAAAGTTTAAGAAGACACTTCATTGGACCCCTCGCTTTTTCGGGAAATCCAAAAAAGGAATAGAACTTGGCTGGTTGAACAGCAAAACAATGCGCAACAACACCTGGCCCAGGAAAAAGTATGAAACCAAGCAAGAAGTTTCTTTGGGCACAGTGTCTGACGATGCTTTTTCCACAAAGCATCTGCGAAGGGTTCTCCCTAAAGAACGGCCACCAACTTCATGTCAATCCATCAAACAATTTTACATTTTGCTGACAACAAAAAGGGAATAGGCGAGCATGGGTGCCTTTTGTTCTCATCATGCGTCTGTCACTTCAACAGTGGCCTCTCATCAAGAAAAACGGTCTTGACCCATACTGTATATACACTGGGGAAATGTTAAGAAAACGGTTCCTTGTAGACTGGGCTGCCTTTTGAAGGCATATAACGCTCAGTTTGGCAGGTTGAAGAGGTCTTACTTAAGTTAATTGAACGTATCCTGCGCTGCCCCCCGATTGCGAAGCCTGCCAAACCTTGCGGCTGTATGCTGAGCGGGTCACATTCAGTTGAATTATTGTAACATCAACCTGCGAACCTGGACAAGTTCGGACGAGACGGCAGCACCAAGGAGAGAAAATCCATCGTTGCTCTGGAGCACACCTTCAAGCCCCAGGAGCCCCGAGCCGGGCCCCACCTTCAGCCCATCGATGGAGCAAAAGTCGCCGCGCGCCAATTCCTCAGGCAAACGTCGTTCGACCTAGAGTTTCGGTCCCGCAATGTCCTTCTGGGAACAATAGAAGGGTCGATTTGGTACCACATTCCTATTGGTTGTTCACTTGGGGTGCTAAAAGGATGTAAAAGAGCATCTATGCGATCTATGTCCACCATGCTCGCTACACGACCTTCCAGGTTGCGGGTGCCCGAAAGCGGTCTCTTGCTGCCACCCGCAACTGTTCCTTCGGTTTGGGCAAACATACTGTATATGGATGGTCATGGCAAATAGTTTCCCTCCGTGGCTTGATCATCTTCTTCAAGCTGAAGGAACGCATGGGGGCTGACCAACACCATAGATTTTCTCAGGTACAGGTCTAGAGGGTGGAGTTTACCTTTTGTCACTTCTGAGAACTCTCATGAGTTTGAGGGGCAACTATTTTTCAGTAGTTCCAAGCCCGCGAGAAGTAAACGCTAATGAAAGTGATTCCATGTTGCTAAGAACAATGTTTCATGTGGCTCATTAGTTATGACATGTAACATATTGTAAAATGCCTTTGATCCTCAATGTGACCTTACAGTCTTTACCTCTTGCGTTTGTGCCACTATGTGGGTGTGCCCCGTGGCCAGAAACACTGGTATGGATCGCTCCGCGCGATCCAACGACTGGATCAAAGCTCTGATCCAAGCCAGATCAAACAAAGTGATCTTGATCCAACCCAGTTGACACAATTAACCTTGACAGGCCCCCATGTCATTCTCATGACACCCAGCAACTCATTCTCAAGAGTTGGTGTCTTCCCTTGTCTGTTGCGCTTCCACCCAACTTGTCCTCTGCTTTGCAGTTGCTTCCACATCCAATGACCATGCTTTCCGCCAAACGGTTCTCCCCTTCTTTCACAGTTGCCTCCACGCATCCAAGTCTTCACGGCGTCCGCTAAACTGTTTTTATCATTTGCGGTTGCTTCCGTCCAAGTTCAAGTTCATGCTTTCCGCTAAACTGCTTTCCCCCAACTTCTACAATTCCTTTGTCTTACAGAGACAAACGGGACCCAAAATGGGCAAAGTTGAGGCCAGAAACTTCACTCCCCCTGCAGGACTCCTCACCCCCCAGTAGCTCCACTTTTGCAAGGCTTGACAGCTAGAAGACCGCCAATACCCAAAACGAACAAGTGGAGCGGAGCCCGCCACTACCTAAAATGAACAAGTGAAGGCCAGAAACTTTATTCTGCAGGGTTTGGTAGGATGTTGGCCAACCAGCCTCTACTGGTCCAAAAAGCTTTACAGAGTGACACTACGAAGCAGAGTAGAGCTCAGTAAGTGGAGGAGCCTCTTGCCACCCAGTGTGAAGTTGGTGGGGTCCAGCAATTTCATTCTGGACTGCAAAGCCCTTCACCAACCCAAGCCAGAATTTGATCCGAAGGGGGTGGATCAACTGAGTGGTGTTGATCCACATCCTTTGGAGCAGGGTATGGATTCGATGTGGGTTTTGGTGTTTCATCCGATTTCATCCATGCCTTAAGTTTCTGGCCGTAGCCACGTGGTATCCCCTCCCACGCCAGAAGCCTGGTAGATGAACTTAGCATATTGTCACAAACAAGATGTGTTGGACAACTGCAAACAAGGAAAACATGTGGGTGGAATAACTATTGGCTCAACATGTTTGTTTAACAAGTGGCTCTTGTCCACGAAGAGCTTCGCATACGCTGAGCTTCGCATGCAGTTGTACAGGCACTCCTCCTTTAGGACTATTGACCAAGTGGACCACGAGCTAAAACCCGGTGGGAGGTTGCGGAGTCTCGGCTGTGTGGGGAGGCAACACGTGGCCAGGCTCGCTCTGCCCATTCCGTGAATGGTCCATCTCCCAATGGATCGACAAATCGAGAGCAAAGACCCACTTAGTTCACTCTCTCTGCGCCAACATCTTCCCAGCCACGATGGGTGGTACAGCAGGCGTCTCCTGTGACCGTCTCTCCCCGAGCAGATCCGAACGTGCGAACGTGATGCCGAACGTCTCCGTGCGGTTCGAACGTCACCGACGTGGTTGTCACTGGGATCACCCTCTAGAGTTCCGGAAATTTAATTAGAATCACGTATAGTCACTGGGATCTTCTGGGGATATTATAACACAGTTGCAGAAGAATAAACCGTGAAACATGGGTTTGTCTTTCAACCCTCCCTCGATTTGAAGATGGCTTTTTGAGAGGATGGATGCAAGATTTCTTCGAAGCGCTACTGAGATTATTATTTCATTTCTCAAACGCCCGGCGTCTCATAACAATACAAAGTCACTAAGTGAATGGCACGTCACTCTTAAGGGATGTTCCAAAACTGATGTGGAGGCCTGTGCGGATTGTAAGTTAGCTAGGGCTCAAAGGCAAACCCAGATTTGGCTGCTCACTAGTGTTCAACCCAGTATCTTGGCCTTAGAGCTGCTCCTGAACTACTTTTCAATCATCCCTCATGATTGCAATTGTCAACCTTTTGAGCAGTCGATCGTTTTGACATGAATCCTAAATAATCCTACTTTACTGTCATACGTCTTCTCATACACAAAGGAACCGCTATGAAATTAGTCGAGCCTGTTGGGGTGCACTTCTCCCCTTTGATCCACCGACAGTGAACCACTCCAACTAGAAGCCCCTGCGAAGTGAAACGGTCAACACCTGAAGCCATAAGCAAAAACAATCACGTCTAGCCTACAATCAAGACATTGGGGAAGCGCAGCACTCCATTTGTCGCACACTTTGCATGTGCAAAACACTAAAAACGCAGGCAAGCATTGCGTGGAACCTGAAATGTATCATATTCATATACCGTCCATCAACCTTAGGCATGATCATGCACCTAACAACCCAGCATGGGCACACCACAACCTTCCCCTAGCGCGCTGTAGGGTGGTGAGGGCGGGGCGCGCAAACTTAAAGCCAGCCTGCACAAGGCAACCAAGGGGTCGCCTGCTTCTGGATATGGTTATCATTTTCCTTTCCCAATCCCCATGAGCAAATTTGACTTGGGGAGCCATTCGTCAGCAGATTCATCAGGGCAGTGTCAAACGGGTTGCCTTCAACCTTCATGACCCGGGGTCTTTCTGACTCGTTCACATGAGTTGCGTTCAGCTGAACAGCTGAACAGTGCAAACTTTAGAAGTCGAGGAAGCGGCGGCTGTAACCGGATTCTTCTCAGAAAGCGTCCAGGAAATCATGTCCACCTATCCCAAACGCTCCTATGTATGGCATATTTGCCTACATTGGGGTGGCTTCAGGGTCAATATGAGCAAATATTCCATACATGGAGTGTCTGGGTATCAATAAACAGCACCGAACTAATCGAAATCCCGTGAACCGGCAGGCCGGTACAAACCCGCCCAGGGCCAGCGCTGGGCCACCGGACGGGAGGCTTGGTCTCCTGGCGGGGAAGGCTCCGTAGGCATTTGGAGGTGAAGTTGACGCGGGAGGTTCTCCGTGAGGCTCCGTGGGACTGGCATATGTTTGCAGCCACATTGGGGTGGTTGAAGAGGGGGTCAATGTAGGCACTTATTTCATACATGGAGTGTCTGGGAATTTGAAAGCACCCTGTTCCCTGGATTCTATAGCAACATCGAACATTATCCTGCCATCCACTTACATGATTGTTGTAGGGAACCAAACTGGTGTTTCGCTGAAACACCACAATGGTGCCAGGAGGGTCCAAATACCTGCTGAGGAGGTACTTGGAGCCACAGGGAATATATATATATATATATATCATAATCGTAACCATAATACATTATATGCATTAAATATATAAGATATGACTGGGTATATCTGGGTATATATACATATTATATCATATAATGTTCTTCTTCCCATGTCATGTGCCAAGGTGGGCAAATCACTTGTGCTGGCCTACCTGTCCTTCAACCGGCCAACAGGTATCCTGGAAATCGGAAACGACCATTTTTTTAATGGTTGATCTGGTTTTGTAGTGTAAAGCCGTTAACCGAGTAAAACAATAGTGGTTTGGGATTCAGGCTAATGTTGGATCCTGATGAGTAAAAGGCCCCCCCTTCCTCTAAACAAATGGGGGACCTTCTACAATAAACTACCACCAAAAAATCTGGGTTCCTGGGAGGATTCCTTTTGTAATTGATTGTAGTATTCATTATCCTCTCTCAGGTTCTTTGTAATTAGATATTCTCCGCAACTCTTTTCCTATGCAGTCTCAGATCTTC